AGTGGTTTTACATAGCATCACCGAGCTTCGTGAAACAAGATTTACGTGATGATTTCATAGGAAGGGTGTTTGTTCTAGGTCTTAATTTTTATTTACTCATTAGTCATGTTGCCTCAATACCAAGAGCTTTGTTTTTTATACTTCATTTCTGAATTAATATGGATTTTTTGCAAAACTAAACGATCTTAAAATCAGTGGCATTTTAGAATTAAAAAACATTCCAGTAGTTATCTTCCCATTTCTAATAATTCATTGTCCTATAAGAACGGGGAACTGAAGGATTATCTTTCCATAATTGTAGCGACTTTTACTGATGATTTAGAGGAAATCTTCCACAAGAGGATACAAATTAGCCCCACACCCAGTTACGTAAGTCATGCAGGTTGAATGGACTGATTTCCCAGCAATGCAAAAATGCTTCCAAAGCAGGACTAGTGGGAGTTGAGAAAGTGTTAGTGGTTTGATGTGATCTAACTTCATAAAGGAGAGTGAGGGATTTGATAGGTTCAGTTTGGTATTCTGAAGGAATTAACTCTACCAATTGTGGGGGGGGGGGGGGGGAACAAAGATGAATGAGAAACTTTCTGCCCTGGCGTCCTAGCCGGGCTTGAAAAATCTGTAAAACAGAGAAATCTGCGAGTGAAAGAAGGCCGCTGGCCCTGCTGACCTTTGAGCAGTGAATGTTGGAGACAGAAGGTCTCCGGTGGGAAATTTAGGGCCCAAACACAAGTCACTCTTCTAGGAGCTTAAGTCAACAGAGCCCTCTATTAGGTACCATGTAGGTCAAAAGTGAGAAATAGCGACAAATAACCCAAGGTAATTGTAAAGTCATCTAGAAACTACAAAAACATTATCCAGACTAATTGCTACAGGAGTTCGGAGAAAGGGGGCAGTTGGGTGCGTGCCCACAGGAATGTAGGTGTCCACACACACCAGCACAGAGCTTGGTGCCTGGAGGAGGCTCCTTGCTTGAGGGAAGGGGGATGTTTGGGCAGCCCTGACATGCAGCATCATGGGAGGTATCCTGCCCTACTTGCTGGGAGCCCAGCCTTCTCTGCTTGCAAACCAAACGTGCTTGTGATTCTGCTGGTGTGCTCACAAATTGTCACCCTTACCACACTGGGTGCCTCAGGAAAGATGGGAGTATTGTCACCTACTTCATTGAAGTAGAAGAGTCATGTACAAAGAAGATGGGGAAATCATGACAAGATTTTCACAGGTGTTAATTCTGAGTAGGAAAAAAATGGCATTTGGTAGGAAAATGGGGTGTTGTGTATCTTTGCCAATATATTATAGCTGCCCCTAAGCAATTTTTTTTCAAAAGGAAAGTACTTCTGGAAAGAAAGTACATTGGAAAACCCTAAAAGAAGCTTCTCAGATTTTAGGAACTTAGTGGAAAGACCCAGAAAGCAGAACATGTCTCCACACTGCGGCCTTTGGCACGTCTCCTTTCAGACGAGCTGGACCCAGAGCCTTCGAGGTCCCTGTAGCCCTGACACGCTGCGTCCACAACAACAGGCTTGAAGCTGACGCCAGGATGACAGCTCCGGCTGCACCTTGAACACCCGCCCTGTCCCGGTGATGCTAGATGGGGGGGTGAGAATACAGAAAGGTGACACCTCTCTTCTGGGAAGCCTGCTGCCAAACCTGCAAGGCGCAGAACAGACGCTGACAAACAGGATTCATCCCAACTCTGCGGTTCTCTCGGCTTTAAGCACTGGCAAAAGTGGACAACCTTGACATTGCCCTTCCTCCCGCCACCCAATTCTCTCACAATTGTTTTCCCGGTCCTCACCCTCTTGGTCAAACTTCACGTTTGTAATGGGCCTGCTCTCAGTCATTTAGACCTGAATTTCAGTGTCTTTTTCTTTTTTTTTTAATTTTACCCGAATCGAGGCAAGAAAAGACAACCATTGTTCCGCGTTAAAAAAGCGTCATACATCCTTGAACACAAGTGGGAGGCTGGTATTGTTTTGGAGACCGGATGCTGTTGACAAAGGGAAGGAAAGCTATGTACCTGTCTTCTGGTAATGGTCCACCTAATCTAACAATTATTTTCATGTAGCATGACACTTTAGCATTACCCTCTCATCCAAAGCATCTGTTTCTCTCCAGCTTCAGCTACTCTCTTACTGAGAAACAGAGCAGTTGAGCAATTTGTCCAGGTTCGCACAGGCTAAGACATGGCAGAGCTCTGGTTAGAGCTTGGACCCCAAGGCTCTAGAGTATAGGGGAGTTAGGAAGACAGAAATTGTGGACAGGGGTTCTGAGTCCCCGGCTCCAGGCTGAAACCACGGGGCAGGTGTGAGGTGATGGGGGCAAAGGGCCCAGAACTCCAGACACACAGACAGAGACAGGAAAGCAGCCAAGGGATTATTCCTATCAGGTAGTGGCCTCACAGTTATTCCTGTACCCACACGAGTGGCCACAGGATAAAAAAGACCTTGCCTTCTAGTCTCCCCAAGGTGCCTTTGTGGTGTGGAAAAGGTGACATTCCAGCATGACCCCCACGGAAGAGCCCGAGGCCTGCTGACAGCCACTGTGGTAAGGTAGGGTAGCCCACAGTCCTGGCTACAGGGAGATAGCCCACCCCCAGAGAAAGGACAGTGGGAGGATGCACAGCATTGGTGAGAACCCAGGGGACCAGTGAGGGCAGAGGTAGAAGGAACACTGCCTGCATTTACCAGTCTTATTCCAGTAGCAAGAGGCAGTGAGCTGGAGGCTTATGAGGAAGTTCGGGTTAATTGTAAAAAATAGAGGGAGCTATTGGTTTCTTGTACAATTTGGGGGCGGCAGGTAAGCTAAATAGCAACGTGGGTTACTTTCGACTACTTGTGAGCTCTCACGGAACCAACATTAGGAAAAAAACCTCAGCTTTGGAGTCAGGCCGAGCTGGTTCCAGATGAGAAGTTGCCATGAGTGTTTTTGTGAGAGGAAAGAAAACCTCACTTTCCCTTGTTGCAAGATGAAAATTCAGTGCCTGCCTCCCTGGGGTTGGTGGGTGGGAGGATTAAATAAGACAGCTGAGGATCACAACAGTGTCTGGCTCCTTCCTCTATTGTAAACTGATCTGCAATTTGCTAAGCAAATAAAGGAGGGAGAGTCATTTCTGATCAATTACAGGATTCATGAAACACGTTTGGAAAAAAAGTGTGGCAACCAAGAGTAAAGTGTGGGACACAGGCCAAAAATGTTCTACCTGTAAAGGGTGGGGACGCTTCAGGCATTTTCCTAATTGACCTTAGAAATCACGAATTTGACTTGAAAATTTTTTCTTCCTTGTAAATTTCCCTGAGTGTCGGATGTGTCTCCGGAGACTTCTCAGGAAGGCTTCCAAGTGTTTCAAAATCATCTTTAGATAATTTATTCAAAGCCTCAAATATAATTTTTTGTACCCAAACTGCATATGCTTAAAACTAACAGGTGTTCCTGTTAAAATGCTTCTCATTTTCACTTCTCACAACCCAACATGAGATTTCAAATATTCTAAAGAGCCAGAGGTGTTTCTTCCTTTTTTAAAGTAAGAAGTTGACAACTATCCTTGAAATGTTAAAAAAAAAAAAAAAAAAAAAGCAGCTGAAAATTTGCGTATAGTGATGGTCTCTGGGGAGTGGGGTTTTGGGGGAAACTGATACTTTATACCCGGTGTTATCTAAACTAGTGCGGGCATAGATTGCTTCGGCAATTTTTCATAAGCATTCAAAAATCAGGGTGGAATTCTGACATCTGAATCTATTCTTCCCGTTTAAACAAGTGTTCCCAGGAATAGCTGCAAATCTCTGAATCCTATGTGTGAGTGGCTAAGGAACAGAGCCCTGGAGACAGCCAGTTTTGCTGGCCCTTAGCTGTGTGGTAGGTACCCTTACAGCTCTGATCTGTGGTGAGAAAAAAGCTGTGTTGAGAACCTAACGTCTTTCTCTGACTCCGCGGCCGAGTGGCAGAGGGTCCTGAGAAATCCAAACAAACCTCCCTCTTCACTAACCTGAGAGTCTAATTTCTGCACCACTGCTAAGCAGTTAGAGTTCAGATTTGGCCCAATCCCTGTCCCCTTTGGCAGATAAGTTGCTCTTTGCTCCTCTGATGACACTTTGCCAAAAGCAAACAGGAACCATGCCAATGCAAAAACTACCTATTACAACAGGTAACAGGTGAGTGGTAGCCAAACGTAAGCTGTTGACCAACTTGGTGGTGACCCCCCAAATGACCTCACATAAAAATAAAACAGTGGCATTAGTCCTTGATGTAGACCATGGATACAATCCTAATTACAGGAAGCATCATTGGGAAACCGCTGACTTTATGGACCTGTACCATGCCCTTGGAGAACAGTGTGCTGGCTGTCAAATGCAGGCTGAGGACAAGTCCCACCCTCTTCCTGGCCCTTTCCAAAAGTGGCTGCTCCAAAGGCTCTCCTAAGGCACCTGGAGTTGTCCCTGGTAGGCTCCCCGAGGTCTCCCTGACCATACCCTCTGCTATGGCCACTGCATGCTCAGCACAGCCTTCAGGATTCAGAGCACAGCTTGGAAAGGGAATCAGGCAGGGGCTGGGCAGGTGCCTAACATGATATGACATGTGGTTCTTAAGCCCAGCAGCCCAACCAGTTTCTTTGTGTGGATGTGAATGCATAAAAGCTGACTTTAAAAAGATATCCCCAACTACAGATTTGCTCACCAAACTGTCCCAACACATGGTCTAAATTGTATCTCTAATCTCTAGCAAGAGAGGAGGGCCAGTGGAGCGCAACTGTTAGCCAGTCAAGGGCAGCAGGGAATGTCTCGATTGGCTGCCAGGAACCAGCAAGATCCTGGGGGAGCTGAACCAGACACTGGCATCTTCCCATGTGCCCTTCAAAGCTGGAAACCAGATAGCCAGTTGGCTAGAAGGGCACACTCATTAAGGCAAAGGACAGATGGCCATGATACCACAAGGGCAAACACAAATTCTGAGTATCTGCATGGCTTGCCTCCAGCAACGGAAGCTCCCTGAGGTCAGGTCCAGCGTCTTCCATGTCTCCTGGGCCAAGTGCATGGCCTAGCCCACAGAATACGTTCGGTGAATAGGTGACAAGCAGCCTTCTGCACCCACTGGCAGACTCTTCCCTATGGCCACCCTTGTAAGATGTTTGCTTCTCCACACATTTGCTCAGGCTGATATTCTACCTGAAGTGCCCTTTCACTTCATCATAAACATCCATCAGGGTCCAGCTGCAGCCCCACCCCCTTAACAGCTATATCGATATCCACCACGTTGCACATGGCCTCTCACACATGCCCTCGTTCATGCTTGTGCCCATTTCACAGATGGGAAGCAGACTCAGAAGCATTCAGTGACAAGTTCCAGGGTCACACTGCTGATAAATCCTGTGCAAAGCAAGAGCTCAAACCCACGTCATCTGATTCCAGGCTCTCTGCTCCCTACATTTCACCAATTGCTTAGAAGTCCTCCCTGAGGTTTGCAAAGAGTTTTATGGTCCTCCTTCCCCATCTTAGGAATGAACAGGAAGATCTGGGTGTGATAGAATTATTACTGACACTAAAAGTTAACGTTCAACACTGGGAAGTGGCCCTTCCCTGGCAGGGGTTTGCCACTCTGACCACTGAAGCCAGCTCTGGGAGCTCCCGTGGCCGGGCATTTATAGCTCTGTGTGTTACAGTTCACTAAATACTCTCAACTTCTCGAAAAGCTGGTTTTTTCCTCTTGGGAGCGGCTGACTCTACCCTTTATGAGAATTGCAAGCCTGCTGGTGCCCTGCCCATTGGGAAACACCTCACTCTGTCACTCTATAAATGTCTGAGGTGGCCCCAAGGGAGGACTTGTGCGGCACCGCTGTCTCCCCAGGACGTGAAGTTCCCACCACCCCACCATGAGGTTTCTAGCCCTCTCCAGATTGCTCTGCATCTTGCTCCTCTGCTTCTCCATCTTCTCCGTGGAAGGTAGGGCTGTCCCCCCAAAGTGCTGGTTCCCAAGCAGGGAATGCAGGGCCTGGGAAGGTTGGAATCAAAAAATGTTGGAGGGCAGGTCCCCAGCAGGCAGTCCTGGGCCTGGGAAGACAGGCTCTCACTCCTGAATCTGTAGCACCTCTGTATACAGTGGCGGCACCAAGGGGTGGCCTGGGAACTTTAGACCCCACGATCTCCATCCGTAGCTCCAGTTCCCCCACACCCACACACCAGCTATGTGAAGGTGATGTTTACCATGCAAACATGCAACCTCCTGGCAAGATTCTTGCACCTAAATCCTACCTAGCTAGAAATTCTAGAGCCACTCTCTTGTACTCGTATCATGCCTGTAGTACGGTGAATTTTGTGGAGACTGTGTGAGTCTGAGCATCCCAGCAAACAGCTGCAACAGATGAGATGAGTACGGTGTGGTGGTGGTTGGGGGGGGGGGGGGGGGAAGGCATGTTTGTATGTGTTTAGAAGTGGGAGAGATGTTCCCTGTACCTCGGTGGATATGAATATTTAGCACTCCTGCCTTTGTTTCATTCAGGTTAGCTATTTTGAGCTTTTTCTCTTGCCTAACTCTCTAGACACTGCCTACTTTTATTATTTTTTTAAGGCAATTATGGTTAAGAGACTCTTAAAAACTGAGAACAAACTGAGGGTTGATGGGGGGTGGGGGGAGGGGAAAGTGGGTGATGGGCATTGAGGAGGGCACCTGTTGGGATGAGCACGGGGTGTTGTATGGAAACCAATTTGACAATAAATTATATGTTAAAAAAAATAAAAAAAAAAAAAAGTACCATCCCTATAAAAAAAAAAGCAATTATGGTTATTTTAACATTTATTGGATTTGGGAGCATAGACAAATAAATAGATAGGGTTGAAAAACACCCATATCTTCATGACTCAGGAATATAGCCATGTTTAACATTTTATTTCTTTTCAATATTGCAGACAAGCATTTTTGGTAATTGATATATCTATATATGTTAAACATTGTATCTTTTTAAAATCACTATATTATTATATAATCACCAAAAATACTTACTATTAAAATTATTCTGGAAGCATTTACACCAAAATGTCAACAGTCGTCATCTCTGAGCGGTAGGATGATAGGAAGTATTTGTTTTCTGAACTTTCTGCAGTGAACATTGCTGCATATGTAATACAGAAAACAGTGATTAGAATTCCTCATAAACACAGTCCAAAGCAACGCGGTTTATCAGACCTTTATTTGGGGGCATGCTAGACGTTGCCACTGTTACCTTAATGACAATTCAATGAATATGAATACCTTTCCCCATAAAGTTTCTAAAACATTTAGGAGTATTTCTGGCATATTCTCCAAATAGTATTATTTAAGTAATATTTTTAGGTATAACTTGCCATCAAGTGTGCTATGATGAATTTCATGCTTCGACATGTAGATGGTTCATAATTTTGCACTATTTTAAGTATGTGGTAAGAGCATATGTGTATGTAAAACATTCCTTGTATTTAAGATTATTTTCTTAGGCTAGATTGCCAAAGGGAGAATATCAGGTCAAAGGGCATAGATACTTTGAGTGAGGATGCTGTGTTTTGGACAGGGACATGAGGAAGAGAGTATCTGCCCACAATGACTTTGTTATTTCTGAAAAATAAATCACCTCCAGGCCCCCCCCCCCCTTTCCCCAGGCCCTCCCACAGCCTGGCTCTTCCTGAGTTTCCTTCAATAAATATCCCTGACCTTTGTACCTTGGGAGCGGAGGCTGACTCAAGTCATTTGTACACAGATCCAACCTCATGGTGTCCCCAACACACTAAGGAAGGGCCTCTGCCCCTCTGTGTCTACCCTCAGGGAGAAGGCATTCTAGGCATCTTGCCAAGCCCCGGAAAGGCAAGCTTTGCTGTTCCCGAGTTCCTAGTCCTGTCCCGACGGCCCAGAAAGGTAAGCACCCTGTCCAGATGGTAAGAGGCTCTGGGGAGGCCATGGGACAGGCCATATATGTGGATCAGCCCTCACCTGTGCCTGGCACAGAGGGGCCACAGCAGATGTGATCTTGGCCTCATGGAGCTTCCGCTCTAGTGTGGAAAAATGAAAAATTAATCATTTTGAACTGAATACGTTCTGTCAAGAGAAGAACAACATGCAATTAGAAAACGGTACTGGGAACACCCCCGGCCTGGGTGGGAGGCATCAGAGGAGGCCGCATTTGAGACCTGAAGAACAGCAGGGAGACAGAGGGGAGGGTTCAGGCAGGGGAAGCAGCAGGCATGGAGGCCTGAGATGGGCAGGAGGGAGCCATGGAAGACAGAGAGGCTGGTGAATTGCAAGGTGTTCATGGAAGCTACTACCCAAGGTAGGGCTGGCCTCGTGAGCTGCCACATGAGGAAAGGTGACCAGTGGGTGGATGGGACTCCCAGGCTCAGAACGTCCCAGAGATGAGGGCAGGCAGCATGCGTCCCAGGAACCAGGCTGGAGGTGCAGAGCCAGGGTGAGGCCTGGAGGAGCAAGACTGCCCTCTCCCACGAGGCCCCCAGGGGCCCCGGCTGGTGAGGGAGACAGCCCCGAAGGAGGCTGCAGGTACCCAGCTCCCAGCACCGGCCCAGGCTGAGGGCCAGCTGGTGCATGGGAGTGGCCTGGGTGTGAAGTTAGCACTAGAAGACTTCTGCTGGCCTTGGGTAGGAGGGCCCCACAGCCTGGTGCATGCAGCCCCCCAGGGAAAGCTGCAGAGCCTAGAGCCAGCCAGGCCTGACACTAATCCAAGGCTTCTGCCCCCAATTCTCCGCGGCTAAGGTCTGAGAAGGCCCCAGTCCTGCTGGCACCTCTGGGACCATGGCCCAGGGAGCCCATGACCAGAGCCAGGTCCTCCCACCCATCCCCCAATCCCACCAACTACCAAGAGTCCTGTGCACAAAGCAGGAGCTTGGGTATGAAGGACAGGGAGAGAGAGAGAGACAGCACTCCTTAGCCTCTGGCCACCTCTCCAGAGAGGCTGACAGCCCCTCCCTCCAGACTGGCATCACATCCAGCTGCGGTAAAAATAACCCGTTCTCACACCCTGCACCCAAGTGTAAAGCACCCGCCCAGGAAAGGTGAGAGGAAGTGCACTGACAGGCTGACTGCAGCTCTGCTCTCCTCTGAGGCCCCAGCCTGGTGAAGGAGGAGGAGTGTTTCCATGAAAGAAATAAGGCAAAGCCGAGGGAAGGGAGAGGTAAGAGTCTCTCCCTACTGAGTGAGTCCATCCCCAAACCCTTCCCCAGGATGGATGCACTCACAGGAAGTAAAACAACATTAGGGATGTGCGTGCACATACACACACATGCACACACGCACACACAGATCCTAGGAAACACAGCCAGTTAACTCCTTGTGCCCAGTACAGGGCAGCTGTTTTGTTACTCACTCAACACTTTAGAATAATTGAGGTGCACGGATTCCATGTTGACTCTGGATTTCTTTCAGTGTACGTACATATTTTTAATTCCATTGCAGAAAATTGCAAACAACTTAGAACAAAAAGAGAAAAACAAACCTTTTTATCGGGTCCTTATTGTACAATCTCATTTAAATCTTTGGAACCACATCAGGGAAGCATTGTCACCATTTTACAGTTTGGGAAACCGAGGCTCAGAAAGAATCTGAGGCAGAGCCAGGAGCCGGATGTGTCTACCTCTTTCCACTACAACAAACTGGCTCCTCCATAGAGAGCAGGTCCCGCAGCATGCTTGTGAAGACACTCGCATTCCCAAGACCTCAGACTTCCCCAAAGCAAAGCGCCATCTGGGTTGGAATCCCAGCTCCACCACCTGCTAGCTGTGTGCCCTTGAGCGGGTCGCCCAGCTCTGCTAAGCCTCAATCTCCTCACCTGTGAAGGGGTACGATCCCAGACTCTACCTTGCCAGGCTACGGTAAGAAGACAGTGAAGTCATGACTATAGCCAGGCATTACCCCCATAAACATGCCTGCTGGGGAAGTCAGAGCCCTGCCAGGGCGCCTGAAGCGGGAGGCCAGAAATTTCAACACTGAAAACCAAGGCCCGTGCCTTCTTGCCCGGGCTTGGTGGTTCCACCCACCATTTTCTGGGCCTGATCCTGGGGCCGGGTCATCAACAACAGAGCTGCTGAGCATGCCAAACTCTGGGAATGTGGCCTCTGTCCTCTGGCCCCCCCGGTGTATGAGAGTGTCTGCCTACCTGTCCAAAGAGAAAATAACCAAGGGTGCCTGGAGGATGTCCCTGGGCTGACAATACCAGTTAGACATACACATGCCAGCATGGGACTCTTCAATGTAAAGTGTCTTTCCTGAGCCTTGGTTCACACATAAGTGCAGTGCCAGGCCTGTGGGGATGACAGGACGTGGCAGGCACAGGATCTTGGGTCGGTTCGACAAAACCATCTCCAAAAGTCAGTGGGCTGAATTTACCACGTTTACCGATTTGCTAAACAAAGCTTTCTCCAAAGTATTTGAAACGTTTGTGTCAATCTGTGTAGCAGCGTGTCATAGCAACATTGTTTTCGTGGAGTGTTCAGTTTGTTAACTCTTAGTGCTGGACAGGCATCAAGCTTAGGCGGGGGGCAGAATGACAGACCCCACCTAGGACCTCTGTCAGGCCATCCTCCTTCCAGGTGTCCTGAGGTTGTTGGTGAGGAAGCTCCTGGGCAAGACTGGGGAGGTCTTGTTTGAAGACCCCTGGAGCCTGAGAGTGTGCCTGCCCCTCCCACAGACTGCCTGGGACCTGAGAGCTCTGTTCCACCCTCCCTGTTTTGAAGACAAGCAAAATTACTTGACCCACAGTGGGAGATGGGGGAGAAGGGGCCCAGAGAGATTCCTCCCCCACCAGGGGGTTATCCTTGTCTTCAGAAAGGGGACCAGACTACCCATTGAGGACCACCAGCGTGATTACTTGAGGGTTTTGGCAACTTTGCATGACACCTGGGTTGACACAAGAGCCAGTACAATGGACCCTGGAAGGGAAGAGGTGAAGAGGGTGCCCCACCCATCCTATCCAGTGGACCAATCAGAGGGTCTCATATCTGTAGCCTTTCTCCTCCGGGGGTTATATCCATTAGCCGTAGCTGCGTAACTAAACACTCCCAACTTCAGTGGCCCAAACTACATGTATTCTCATTTTCCATGAATCTGCAGGTCAGCTGAACAGGCTCATTTATTCTTCCAAGGGTTGGATACACCATTCTGCTGACCTTGGCTGGGCTCTCTCACATGTTTGGGGGCCAGTGGTCTGTAAGTCTTGGAGGGTCTCAGTTAGGCAACTGGACCTTCTTCCACATGGTCTCTCATCCTCCAACAGGCCAGCCCAAACTTCTCCACAGAAGCTGCAGGGTTCCACCTATGTGAGTGAAAGCACCTAAGCACCTCAGAACTGGCCCACCTTTACCTCCGCTGCATTCAGCTGGCCAAAGGAAGTCACCGGGGCAGCTCAGATTGAAGGAAAGGAGAAGCAGACCCCATATTTTGGTGGGAGGAGCTACAAAGTCACATTGCAAAAACAGGGTGGAGAATTGTGACTATGTGTGCAATAAGTCAACCACAGTATTTATTGTAGGAGCCAGAGAAGAGAGTCCTGGGGATCTGAGGAGGGTGGACAGAAGTTGCAAGCAGTGTTCAGGAAACCATGGTCCCCCATCAGAAATTCTAGTGGAAAATTCTCATGACATTATATTAATAGAAAAAAGTACTTTACACTGTACCATGATAGTACCATGACTATCACTGTTGGAAGATGAAAGCACTTTCAAATAGGAAGACAAAATACAAAGACAACTATACCAATGTTAGCACTTATTTATGATTGAGACATGAGGCTATGGATAAATTATAATTAAATTTATTTTTATAGCTGGTGGTTATATAGCAATTATTGTCTAACACTTACATCTGCTAACTCATTTAATCCTCACAATCTTAAGAGTTAGATAACATTACTACCCCCATTTTTACAGGTGAGGAGCCAAAGCACAGAGAGGTTAAGTAACTTGTTGAAAGGCACACAGTTAGTAAGTAAGTGGTAGAGCTGGGGCTTTGAATCCGAATACTCTGGCTCCAGATTCTATGTTCTTTTTTTATTTTATTTTATTTTTTTAATGCTTATTTATTTCTGAGAGAGAAAGACAGAGTACGAGTGGGAGAGGGGCAGAGAGAGAGAGAGAGAGAGGGATACACAGAATCGGAAGCAGGATCCAGGGGATCCAGTGCTGACAGCACAGAGCAGGACTTGAACCCACGAACCATGAGATCGTGACCTGAGCCAGTTGGACACTTATCCAACTGAGCCAGCCAGGCGCCCCCAGATTCTATGTTCTTAACTATCATACCACATTGCATATAGTAATAATCTGGAAACAGAAGGGGGGAAAAAAAAGGAATAGTCTCATCACAACAATTTAGTAATCTTCACATTCATTTGTGTTTCTTTTATTTTTTTTTCAAGCAACCATGTTCATCCAGTTTTATTTTTATTGTACCTCATTTTCTTACTTTTAAAATTAATGTTACATTGTGAGTATTTTTTTTTCCTCTTGCTACAGTCTTCATAATCACAGAATTTTCTCACGTTAAACATTTCCATCATGATGAGATACCATAACATAACATACCTAACTTACCATTTCTCTACCATAGAATATTCAGATTGTTTCCAGAAATTGTTTTTCTGGTATTCAAAACAAAACTATGAAGAACAGTTTAAAGCCTGCCGGTTCTTTTTTCTTGTGGATTATTCCTCCCATAAGTGGGACTGGTTTGTCAAGATGCAAACATAGCTTTGAGACACATATTGCCTGCAACTCGCAGTCCAGAAGGAAATAGCCCGAGGAGTCTGAGGGCCTGCAAGTGACGTGGGCAGACCCTCCTACTGTGGCCATCAGAAACCAGACCCTTCAACTTTAGTGGACTCTTGTTGACAAAGCCAGTTTGGCACATAAGCCTCCTTCTCTCCATCTGATGCCAGTAAATCAGATTCCTCCCTGACAGGACTGAAATAACCTGAGCTGGTCATGTTTGCCATGAAAGCCCTTCCTTCTGGGTCTCCAGGAAGGAGATAAGATCTAATTCTTGCCTTGATTTTTAAAAACACTTTGAGCCTGGAAATGAACGTTAATTGTGTTCTCCCCTTTCTCCTCCCCCACTCTGCCTGGCTCTTGTCTTGTCTTACCTGCCCATTGCTCCTTCCCAGGGCGCCATGTGAGGATCTGCAGACAGTGCAAAGTCAAGCCGGGGTCCCGCACTTGGGTAGTACCTGGGGCTCTCCCGCAAGTGTAATGCTGCCCAAACAAGTCTACACACAGGTTGAGACCCTCATGCCCAGTGCCTGAGGCACCCAGAAGTCTCAGGTTCTCTCAGGATGCTCCTCTTGAAGCTGGGGCTGAGGGCAGAGATGCCAAGAGCCTTGGCCCATGGAAGCTTCTGCCCATGAACCATAAGCCTCTTCTCTTAAAGACACAACATTTCTTCCCTGCTATGTTGGAATGTGCTCACGCTGCCTTTTAGAAAAGCCTGAACCAGAATTTTCTGAAAACCACAACCTGGATACAAAGGTCAAAACGCTGGAATGCATGTCTTGCTGTGTGGCCTTGGACAAGTAACTTAGCCTCTCTGGGTGCATGTTGGCTTCAGAGATGTAAAGTTCAGAGACTGAAAAACCCTCTAAGGAAGACCATCAGTCACTGGCACCAATGGGTTTCACTATGCTTTTCAACCTTCCCGGCAGTGAGCTGGGATGTTGTGGGGCTTCACCTTGGTCAGCAAGGGCCCTGAGAAAGTTCCGGAATTCTAGATGCTAGTCCCACTCATGCCCCCCACTTTCCGAGTTATTCAGGCTCAGCCCACCTGGTCTCAGTCCCCTCCTGGCCTCTACAGTGTTGACAGTCAAGATTCCACTGTGACTTTTGACAGCTACAAACTCAGACAATTCTGATCCTGCTAGGGAGCAGGTAACAGGTCCCCAAGAGCAGTGACCAAGACTGCATCCTGAGGTACACACAGCCCTTAACTGTCCCACATCCGATGGCCTCTAAAGGAACCCCTTTCTAACTTCCTGATGTGAATCTGCTGGAAAGAACATTGAAACAAAACAAACAAAAAACGCCAAATAATAAATAAATAAATAAATAAATAAATAAATAAATAAATACACAAAATGCACATGCAACATCCATGTTTAAGAAAGTCAGTGATTGGGAGGCACCTGGGTGGCTCAGTCGGTTAAGCGTCCGACTTGGGCTCAGGTCAGGGTCTCAATGTTTGTGAGCTGGAGCCCCGCATTGAGCTCTCTGCTATCAGCACCGGGGCCTGCTTCGGATCTTCTGTCTCCCTCTCTTCTGCCCCTCTCCCTCTCTCTCTTTCTCTCTCTCAAAAATAAATAAACATTTAAAGCAGCAAAAATGACAAAAAGGAAAGTCAGTGATTGGTGTCCCCGGGTGGCTCAGTTGGTTAAGCATCCGACTCTTGGTTTCAGCTCGTATCATGATCTCACGGTTCATGAGATTGAGCCCAGAATCAGGCTCTGCTCTGTCAGTGTGCAGCCTGCTTGGGATTCTCTCTCTCCCTCTCTCTCTCTCTCTCTGCCCCTCCCCTGCTCACATGCACTCTCTTTCTCAAAATAACTAAATAAACGTTAAAGAAAAAAAAAAAGAAGAAGTCAGTGATTGGGCCTGAGCCTTCTGCTAGAGGAAACCCATGCCCCAAAGCCTCTCCTGAAGGCCACTCCTTCATCATGAGAAAATCTAACTAGGAGAAGGGGAGTGAGGACTACTGACAATAACAACGTTCTTGGTCTGACACACCAGGACTCAAATCCCAGACCCACCCAGAATTGTGTGACCTGGGCAAGTCGGTTCCCTTTTCTGTAAAATGGAGACCCCAGCACCCATCCAGAGGACTGAAAGGGCACAGTGGGTGATGGAAAGTACCCACAGAGGGCATGGCACACAGAGGAAAATGGTTCAGGGAAGTCCCTGCCTTCCCTGCCCTCGCTGGGGGCTCTGCTTCTACCCACAATGAGCCGGGGTTGTGACTCAGAAGAAACAGATGGCCAGGTCTAAGAGGCTCATCTCTCCGGTAAAGCTCCCTTCTAATCTGATTCTCCCAGGAAGGTGAGAAGCCCTCCCCATGCCACCCCACAGTCTGTGTCTGAAAGCGCCAGGCCCACAGCTTTGAGGATCGATGGGTGGAAGTTCTCTGGCACAGGGCTCTGGGGACAATGGTCCCAGGGCAAGCCAGAGTCCTTACCTTGTCATAGGCCAGACCTTTCAATTCCATACAGAGGCTGCATTCATGGGCTGGTCCCTTCACTCACTCACCCGTTCCCAGGGTAGGCAGTTGTCCCATCACGCCAGCTTCTGACGCTCAGACATGAACAAATGCAGTCCTCAAGGGCTGAGAAGCACGAGGGTGTGAGCCCCGGGGCATAAACAGAGGTCCGGGCACAGGAGGAAAAAGATGAGCTGATGCTTGGGCTGAATTATGGGAGCATTCCAGCTGGAGAAGGGATATGTGTGTGAGCGTGCAAGCATATGTGTGCGTGCGTGCGTGTGTGTGTGTGTGTGTGTGTCTGGGATGAAGAAGAGGAGCAGCAAAGGCCAGGCAGAAGACTTGAGGGTTTGAGGAGAATTCACAGCAACTGCAGGGAATGCAGGGAAGAAGGGCTATTAGGAGGAGGTGGAATGAGCCGGAACTAAGGCAGGGCCGACGAAGGCACAGAAGAGGAATTTGAGGGGTTTCTGAGCAGCAGTGGTGTGGCCTTATAGACTCGGTAGCTGGGGCTATGGAGACAAGTCCACGGTGAACATTTCTGTGCTGTGTCAGACCCTCACCGGGAACGCCCTTGGCGAGGTGAACCACTCAGCTACTAACACTGTGACAGCTGACCGTTCAACATCCTTGTTCCCAATCCTTCCTCTCTCCATCACCACCAAACTCCTGCCCCCTAACACACACACACACACACACACACACACACACACACACACACACAATGTAAAGAAAACACTGACATATAACTAAACACATGTACTTGAAAGTCAACAGGAAAAACAATTCAGAGGCCATGTGTCTGGCCACTGAACCAAGTCTAGCCTTCTGCTCAGGAAAGCACAAACCCCAGGAGCCTCAGCTTCTTTTTCAGGTAGGAAAGACCAGTCACTTAATGTACACAATTAAAAGGACACAGCAGAATGTTGGGGGAAAGAGGAGGCTGTCTCTGTGGGGCAGGAATGCAGTGCCCATGGCTCTGAGCCACTGGCGTGCAGGAGACCAGCCTTGGGTAGGAAGGGCAGTGACCCCATGGGACCTTCCAGGGATGCCAGCCCCTCAGAGCAGCCCAGACCAAAGGTGGGAGGCACAAAAGGGAGCTGAGGACTCTGTTCCCACCCTCCCTGACTCTGGAAAGTAAGGGGAAGTAAGGGAAAGCCTGAGACTGGTTCCCAGAGATTCCTGTGCAGAGCTAGAGGCTGGCCAAAGGCCAAACTCTTTCCTTCCCACTCACCTGTGGGATGTCACCTCCAGAAGTTGCAACATGAGATTTTAAATTTGGTGGAAGAACTTCACTCTCAAAGGGTAGACTGAGCCTTCAGGGAAAGTCTGACAAATAAGGTGATTCAAGGCTACTGGGGATCCCATGAGGATTCCAAACATCCACAAGGGACTTTAATTTATAAAACTTTAATTCTTATTTTGCCCTTACTTGACTCCTTAAGAACCTAGACTGATTGACAGTTTACACTAGTGTCATTAGAGAAAGTGTGCGGTCCCCATGGCAACTAAAGGGGCTCACACTCTGACTAGGTGGGACATGTGGTATCGTTGACAGTGCACAAGCTTCCCAGATTTGGGTTCAAATGAGGGTTCTGTCATATGCCTGTTGTGTGACATTAGGGAGGTCAGGTGACCTCTCAGAGCCCCAGATTCCCCACCCGTAAAATGAGGCTGTCACAGAGGGCTGTTAGGGAGACTAAATGAGACAATGAGAAGTGCCTGGCTCTGAAATAGAAGCCAAGTGGCGGTCACAGGTCTGTTTCCAGCACATTAGACGGATCCAGGTGTCTCCCCGCTCCCCAACCCCACTCAAGATTAGGTCCCCCTGGACCCATTTCATCTCCAGCTATCATCGAACCTCCAGTTGGGCACCACAAGCACTTTACAGCCTCGTGGACTCACCCATTCTGCTGATTCGTCTCTGAGCTTATTTTTGGGTAAACTGTCCAGAGTAGACCACTTTCTGGAGCCTTACAAGGCCATGCCCTAACTGGTTAGTTCACACAGGATCCCACACAGGACTCCCCTGACTGGCTCCGCGGCCATTTTCCCTGCCTTGGATGCATCGTAAAACTTCTAGGGTGTGAATGTGTCCAGGGCTCTGACCTGGTCTCCCAAGCAGTGGCTGCACCTTGTCTGTTTACTAGCAGCCTTGTAACAGGCGGACAGGTCCAGAGGCAACCGGCAGACTTGTTATCAACAGCCCCATCTCTGGAAATAGTCTTTGACTCATCTGCTGTTTAATCTGTCAAACTGCACTGCCCCTCAGGATTTGCAAAGTGTGAACCAAAAGGTGGGAAGTGTCAAGTTACAAGATATCGAAACAGAAAAAAAAGTTCTCTTCCACATCAAAATGCAGCCATTTTGTTTGCTCAAATCAAGGTTTAAATATATTGTGGATGTGAACACGTATACATGTGCAGCGGTCTCCACCGCTCGCTGTTGTCTTTCACTCAGCCACTTCACACATTTCAGCCTGCTGCCTGGCTCAGCGGGCATTTCAGCTTATACCCCCGGGCTACTCCAGTCTATCAACTTAAGGATGGATGGAGTGGGGAAGCACATGTGAAGGCATGAAGAGGATTAGTTGTTGACCATGACCAGGAACCAAGACTTATGTCATCGTCAGGTACCTCTTCATTCATTCATTCATTCATTCAGCTGGTCAACAACTACCCATTGAGGACCTTCTATGTGACTGGTCCTGTGTAAATACTGAAGAAACCTATGCATGAAATGGTCTCTTCCTTAAGTGGTTCACAGCACTCTGGGGGAGACACCAAAGCAGACAGATTATAGTACTAAAGTCTTTTAAGGATCCTGTCAAGGTCTCAAGTAGGGACCAATTCTGCCTGGGGGCAGGAGATGCCAGAAAAAAAAAAAAGGAAAACATTCCGGAGGAGAAGATATTATTGCTGTGTCACCTACCTAGACTCAACCATGAGGCAGGCTGGATAGCAAGGGAGAGCACTGCAGGGTGAAAAACAGGCAACATCAGGGTTAGAGCTTCTGCCCACCTGTGTGGGTGCCGCAGTGACCAAGAGCCAGCATTGCAACCCAGGAGGTTGATTCAGTGGGTACTAGTACCAACTAGATGGGTACTGGGGAACAGGTGACAGCCCCAGACTCCTGCATAGTACCTCAGTTAGGGGGACAGGCAGGGCCTTAGACAGACAGGGGAGGAATCCCAGCTCCATGTCAGAGGAGACAGAGACAGCCACCTTACACATGGCCTGGACACAGCAAGGGGACAAGTGAAGGGGACACATTTCAGAGTAGGTGGTGTCCCGGGCTCCCCAAGCCTGCTAACCCCAGAGCCCGCTGCTGTGGGAACGGACTCCCGACTTCCAGCCAGGTGGGTCCACCCTGGCCCACAACCACAGAGGACAGTCGTCAGGACCTCCCCTGGGCTGGGATAAATAGGGCCTCACAGTCATGTCCAGAGAGAGTACATTCAGGCCTACTAGGATCCCTGGGCCCTATGCCTTCATGCTCAGTACCAAATTCCGCCCTGGACAAGGGCTTCCCTGTCATGAACAGTCATTGTTCTGGAATTCAGCAATAGGACCCAACAGCTCAGGATGCCCAGTAGGTGGGCAGAGGTCAGTCTGCAAGATGGTCTTACCACAGACAGCTAGGGCAGAAGCAGGGTGCTAGGACCAGTGCTTTGCCCCTCCTACTTCAGGGCCCTTAGGAAGGTGAGCCCGAATAGCAGACAGCTGCTCTTCACCACACCCTCAGCCCTGGGAGGAGCCTGGAGAGCTGCTTGCCAACCTCTCTCGGTGTAGGTGTACATGTGCTGGGCATGTGTGTTTATACAAGGAGATGGGAAAGGATTCACACATACAGGGTATACATGCATGTA